TATAAACCTTACTTGCCTAGTTTCCAACAGACCTCACAACCTCTGAGGATGCCTGCCATAGATGTAGGTGAAACATCAGGAGAGAATGCTTCTGGAACATGGTCATACAGCCTGGAAAACTCACAGCAACCCAGTGATTATGGCCATAAAAGCCTTCGACAACACAACAGCAAAGAGTGTCAATGTATTTGAATGAATAGCATATTTATCATAGCACAAGTTTTTATGTTCTACTAGCCGTCCCCTGCCATGTGTTGCTATGGCACAGTCTGTGTATATGTGTTTGTATATATTTGTGTATATGTGTATATATGTGTGTTTGTGTGTATATGTGGTTTTGAGCATGTGTTGTAATGATTTTTTTATTTTTGGGGTTTTCAAGCCTCTTCTGTGTTTTTCAGTGTTTTTATAAGTGATAGTCACTCGTTGGCTTGATAGATGTTTAGCATCCAAATTTGGTGTCAATTCGTCCAGTGGTTTTTGAGTTATGTTAATCCCCCAAACAAACATTACATTTTTATTTATATAGATAGTCCACCTGATCAGATATAAGAGCCTGTGGAAAGTTATACCATAAATAAAGAAGTTAGTTTTTAAGGTGCCACAGAACTTTTCCTTTGTTTTTGCTGCAGCAGTCCACTGTGGGTAAATAAACAACCAAAGACAGCTGTGCTTGTACAAAAACAAAGGCTACAGTTCATCAATACCTTTATTGAGATCAGTGTCCTAAAGTATTATTTCTGTAAATACCAGAGGCCGGATCCAAATGGGTTGGAAGGTAGAGGCTTTCATACCTGAATGAAAACTCTCAGAAAGCTGGCTTTCTTCCAGTGTTATTAAGAGGTTGCTGGACTTAAAGGACCTTGGATCATCTGGCTATGATGTGTGTGTGTGTGTATGTGTGTACGTGCATGGGTGTGTGAGCACGTGTGTTCTCAAAGGGAAGGTCTTTTCTGAAAAACGTTCAGAACTGGCTCTACCTCCTGTCCAAAGTGAGGAGGTCATCTTAGGCGGCAGATAATGGAGGGGAAAAGCAGCTGTCCCAGTTCTTTCTATTGACCCGCCTGGCCATTTTCCTCTGATGGAGACCGAGTTGTATGAGTGCAGCATGTCCAGCCCTGTTTCATCTCTGGTACAGTGCATATCCAGTATCATAATAGGATCCAATAGCCCTTCCAGCTAGTTGCCTCATGTCAAATGGCACTTGCTTCCTCCTTGCCTCGGGCATTAAAATGAGTGGTCTCTGACCTTACCATCATTTCTTCCCTATGGACGAGTGAGAGAACCACCTCATTCAGCCCCTTGGTATAGAATGACCAATGTTCAGCTAGTAAATGTAGAAATCCCATCCTCCTTTCACAGTCTTAAATGCTGGAGTTTTGAAGTCTTGGATATGCTGTCCTCATGGACTGTGAAACAGAAATTAATTTCATTATGTAATTGCTTGACTGAGTGAAAGAGAAAGAAAGCAACGAAGTGGCCTGCTGGATTCCCCCCCCCCCCCTTTACAATATGACATTTCTGTTCTCTGTCAGAAAAGAGAGCTGTAGTGTTTAAAAGGAAACCAGGCCTTATGCAGAACAACCTAGGGAGTTGGGCATGATCAGTTAGGAGAAGAGAAAATGGTTGAAATAGCTGATGAAATCTCACGTGGAAAAGGAAACCAGCTTGTTTTCTGCTCCTCCAGGTACCAAGACACAAACCAATTAATCCTTGTGTTGTCAAAGGCTTTAATGGCTGCAGTTGCTTTGAGTTTTCTGGGCTGTATGGTCATGTTCCAGAAGCATTCTCTCCTGATGTTTCACCCACATCTATGGCAGGCATCCTCAGAGGTTGTGAGGTCTGTTGGAATCTAGGCAAGTGGGGTTTATATATTTGTGGAGTGTCCAGGGTGGGAGAAAGAACTCTTGTCTGCTTGAGGCAAGTGGGAATGTTGCGAATAGCGACCTTGATTAGCATTTAATGGTCTTGCATCCTCTGAGGATGCCTGCTATAGATGTGGGCAAAACTTCAGGAGAGAATGCTTCTGGAACATGTCCATACAGTCTGGAAAACTCACCGCAACCCAATTGGTCCTTACTGCAAGGAAAATGATTTCACCAGAATGTTAGGAAGACCTTCTTGAAGGCAAGAGCTATTTGATAGCAGAATGTACTGCCTTGAGGCAGGGCGGGGTGGGAGAGACTCTCCTTCTTTGGAGATCTTCCAAGAGAGATTGGAGTGGGTTGCTGTGAGTTTTTTTGGGCTGTGTGGCCATATTCCAGTAGCATTCTCTCCTGATGTTTCACCTGCATCTGTGGCTGGCACCTTCAGAGGTTCTGTTGGCAGTGAGGCAAGTGAACTGTATGTATAGCTGTGGAATGTCCGGGGTGGGAGAAAGCACACTTGTCTGTTTGAAGCAAGTGTGAATGTTGCAATTAGTAAGCTTGAATAGCATTGAGTATCCATGAAGTTGCAAAATCAATCAGTGAGGGCATCTGGTAGCCTTGCCTCTGTTGCCTGGCCAAAGCTCTCCTCAAAGTTTTCTTTCTGAGCAAGTCTGTGTGCCTCCCCCACACCTTCCAGGGTTGCTCTTTGCTTTCTTTTGCCCTTTCCCAGAGTGCATTTCTCTCTCCTTTGGCCCGGGCCTTCCTTCCTTCCCTCCCTCTCTGCCTACTCCCTTGCGCTTTTGCAGGATGAATTGCCTCAGGAATGCAGCTGCTGCCAAGCCCACAATCTCTGAGTCAGCTGCGGCCTTGGGACTCTCCCCAGGTCTCATTCAGTTCCTGGGATGGGTCTGGGTAGTGAGGCATGTCATAGAATCACAGAGTCTGAAGGGGCCACAGGGGCCATCTAGGCCCTTTCTACACTGCCATGTAAAATCTGGATTATCTGCTTTGAACTGGCAGTGTATAGAGTTGGAAGAGACTTTGTGGGCCATCCAGTCCAACCCCCTAGCAAGAAGCAGGAAAAAAAATCACATTCAAAGCACTCCTGAGAGATGGATGGGGTAGATTCATATAATCGAATTCAAAACATATGTGGATTATCTGCATTGATAATCTGGATTACATGGCTGTGTAGAAGGGGCCTGAGAATGCTGGAGGCCAGTCCTGTACAGTGGGCCCTCAGGATCCCACTCGTGGTAACATAATCCATGGATGACCAACTAGTGTTACGACAACAGGGTAGATTCATATAATCGAGTTCAAAGCATATGTGGATTATCTGCATTGATAATCTGGATTACATGGCCATGTAGAAGGGGCCTGAGATGCTGGAGGCCAGCCCTGTACAGTGGGCCCTCAGGATCCCACTCGTGGTAACATAATCCATGGATGACCAACGAGCATTACGGTATATACAACAGTGTAGTAAAATAGCACCTCTTATATAGAGTGGCAAAACCAAGGTATACTTTTGGGATTTTTTTTTTTGAAAATGGGTAAATCTATGGATGCAGGGTCTGTGGATAGGGGTAGGTAGGCTGTACTGTGAATCCCATAATTCTGTGAGATATTTCCACAGCTGTTAAGTGAGTTCATAGCAATATTGTTGGGGCCCAAGCACAATGAGGAGAGAAACAGTAAAGTACAATATGCACCAGGCACCAGTGAAGTCCAAGGAGGCATTTACAACAGGCATGGGCAAACTCCAGGTGTTTTGGACTCCAACTCCCACCATTCCTAACAGCATCAGGTCCCTTCTTTTTCCCCTTCAGCTTCTTAAGAATGTTAGAATGTTGAGGCTGGCCAATCAGAAACCACATGCAAATTAGTAGGTCGAGATAGCTCTCATGCATGGATGAACTACGGCCAGGGGCGGCTTGTCCATTACGCGAAGTAAGCAATCGCAGAACACTTTTTTTTGCCAGGGGCGCAGATGCGCCTGTGTAAATGCCCCTCAACTGCCACTTGAGGAGTGCCCCCTCAGCTCACAACAGCCCTAGCAGTTCGGGGGGAGCCTTGGTTTTCTTGCCTTGCTGCCGGGCGATCCTCTTCCCAAAGGGGCCGGGCCCTTGAGCCTCGCCTAGCCCCTCTCATTCCTGCTCCACCTGGCCACCGGGTGTGTGAGCAGAGCTGGCGCTCAATCGTTCTCCGCGTTCGATCCCTTCCCCATGACTGGCTTCCTTTTCTCCTGACTTTCTCTTCAGCCATTGGGACCAAGAGAGAGAGAGAGAGAGAGAGGGAGCCCCTCCGGCTGGAGGTATCTCTCACCTCTGCTCCCTCCTTTGTTTTTGCGCCTACCTTCAGGAAAGGTGGGCATCTCCACCTCTCTCTCTCTCTCTCTCGGTCCCAATGGCTGAGGAGAAAGTCAGGAGAAGAGGTGACTTTGGGTCTTCAGGCACGCCTCCGGACCCAAAGCGGGCCAGGCAAGGGAGCAAATGTGGCAAGTGTAGTTACTGGGATGTATAGTTCACCTACAATCAAAGAGCATTCTGAACTCCACCAATGATGGAATTGAACAAAATATGGCACACAGAACTCCCATGACGAACAGAAAATATATATCAGTGATTGGTTGGGGGGGGGGGGAGGAAATACTGTTTGCTTACGCTGAAAATTACCTAGGGCCGCCTCTGACTACGGCCTTGTCGCCAGGCATTTTGGACTTTGACTCCCATCATTCGTAACAGCCTAGGGCCCCTTCCTTTTCCCCTTCAGCCGCTTAAACGGAGACAAAAAAGGTGAATTCTGAAAAGCTAGGTTGAATGTGCCTTGGCTGGGATGGTAAAAGAAGAGTGGGTAGGGTGCCCTCTAATTGAGCCACAGAGAGAACAGCAGGGGGGCTCCATTGGGGAGATTCTGGAGGGGATTCAGGTGTAGATTTCGGGCAGTCTGATTCCACTTTAGGTGCCCTGTCTCCGTTCTATGGTACCCTAGGCGTTGTAGCTTCATGAGGCACCAGTCCTCTTGGGCTGGGAAGGCGGAAGACTTGTCAAACTGCACCTCTGAAAATGCCATAGCGTTGGGCCACGCGGGGAGGCGGAGTCGGCGCCAAGGGGGCGGGGCTTGGGAAGGCTATAAAGGCTTCTCCCCGCGTGTCAGGTCTGCCAGTCCCAGAGGGAGAGCGGAGGAGGGCTGTTCCGTGGCTGCGCAGCGGGAGAAGCCTCGGTGAGCATGAAGGGCCCCGTGCTGCCTCCCTCGGGGGCCGCTCCTCCTCTTCCTGGCTCGGCGGGCGTGCTGCGGGCGGGGGAGCTGGAGAAGCGGAGCGCCAGCCTGCTGCAGCTGTGGAAGAAGAAGCGGGCGGAGCTGCGGGCGGACGGGCTGAGCCTCTTCTCGCCGGAGGGCAGCGGCGGGAAGGAGCTGCGCTTCGGCGCCATCCAGAAGGTGGACTGCGTGGAGCGGACCGGCAAGTACGTCTACTTCACCATCGTCACCAAAGACCGGAGGGAGATCGACTTCCGCTGCCCCGGGGAGAGCTGCTGGAACGCCTCCATCACCCTCGCCCTCATCGACTTCCAGAACAAGCGCGCCCTCCGGGACTTCAGGAGCCGGCGGCAGAAAGAGGGAGAAGAAGAAGGGGAAGAGGGAGAGGAGGAGGAGGAGGAGGAAGGAGGGAAGGCCCGGAAGGCCCCGCAGAGGAGGGAGCCCGAGCGCGCGCCCTACGCCCAGGCCCCCACGCGCCGGCCCAGGCTCGCGCGCGCCCCCTGACCAAGGTGAGCTGCTGCACCGGGGTGCGTTCTTGGACCTGCTGCCACGGCTCAAGGCGAGGGCACCCCGGGAGGTTGGGAAGGCATCTGGACGGACTCTGGCAGGGAAGGCGAAAGACCCTGACAACCTAAAACAGCCACGATTCCATAGCATATAGAGCAGGCAGGAGCAAACTTCGGCCCGCTGGTTTTGGGCTTCAACTCCCCACAATTCTACCGGCAGATCTAGATAGAGTAGGCAGGGGCGAACAGGAAGACAAAATCGCATGTAAAAACCGAGTTTTAAGTAGTGTCAACTTCATTAATTGCAGAAGTGTATTTGCCCCTTTGGACGCCTGCTCCTCCATCCCGATCTCCCCAGGCTTTTCCTGCTCTCTAGCAGCAAAACCATCACTGATGTGATCTAGAGGCAGATGAAAATCCAGTGGGTCGGAAACTTGTCCTGGATGATGTTCTTAATGACTACCAAACAGACATTGACTGGATAGCAGCAGCTTCAGTCTTTGAAATAAGTTTCACACCAAATGTAATGCACAATGCTCCCGATCTAGCATATTTTTTTAAGGAGATGAAGTTTGCTGCTCAGCCCCAAAACAGCATGAAAGTGCTTGGGATGCAAACCTGCAAGTCTGCCCCAAATCAGTTCATTAATACTGCATTGTAAAACAAGTCAAACCAAAATCCAGAAGAAAATGTTTGGGAAGTATCTGAAATAATGAGTCAAACTTATTGTGATCCCTGCTTTAATCCAGTTAGATCAGGCATGGACAAGCTTCAGCCCTTCAGGTGTTTTGGATTCCAACTCCCACCATTCCTAACAACCTCAGGCCCCATCCTTTTCCTCCTGAGCGGCTTAAGTGGTTTTTTTTGTCTCCATGACGTAGATTAGGCAAGAGCAAAGTCTGACCATCCCTCCAGGTGTTTTGGACTAACACCCACCATTCCTAACCACCTCAGGCCCCTTCCGTTTCCTATTCCTGCTTAAGCAGCTAAGGGGGGAAAGGAAGGGGCCTGATGGGATTTAGGAATGATGGGAGTTGACGTCCAAAACACTTGGAGGGAGGGCCCAAGTTTGCCCGTGCCTGAGTTAGATATTATGCTTAAGTTTTGTGACTTTGTGATCAAGCACGTTGATTTTAATAGCATGACAGACTTTCAATTGTTAAGATGGGTATTCAGATTATATTGACCAGCACACTTTAGAATTTGGTGCAGAAGGAAAACTTGGAGTAGCAACCAAGCAGATGCCAGAGGCATTTGTTAAGGGAGAAGCTAATTTGGGCTGGGCCAGGGCTGTTCCATCCCAATGTGTGGGCATCGCTTGCGTGTGAGCCATGAGCGTGGGCGCTTTCTTTCCCAGGAATGGCATCTTTCAGCATGAGACTGAGCAGAGGAGACTTTAGTCTCTTGGCTCGGAGGGGGCCATTCATGGAATCTGGGACTTTTCACTCCCACTGGAACATCTTCATTTTAATACACTTAGGAAACAGGAGGAAAGGAAAGTAGCATCTACACATGCAAGGGAAATGGGATTTAACCTATGGGAGAACTGCAGGGCCATTTGCCAGAATTTGTAAGAGATTTGTGTGTGCCCTAAAACAACCACACTACACATAGGAGAAGTGAGATATGCTGATTGCACATAGATTCAGAGTCTGACTTATGATATTTTGCAGCATTTACTGGTCTGGATGCACTTATTGGCTGGTGCTGCCTTTCTCCTGGACTGCAACAGAAAATCTCCTGGGAGAAGAAAGCTGGACTTGTGCTTGCACAAGATAATATATACATTGTCAATCTAATCAATTTTAAAATTATAGTTGGATCAGTTTCCCAAAAAGAAAAGAAATTGGTACTGGAGTCCTTAAGCTCCTTGAGTGTGCCTTGTGAATTCTGGAACTAAAGTTCTCTTGCTTAGCAAGTTAGATGAGTAGAAAACCTAATGGGAATGGACATGGTAGTCTTACCTCCCTCCCTTAGTTTTCTGAAAACCCAGAGTAACCCAGTGCTTAGGGATATCGATCTCTGGTAGAATTACTCAAACCAAAATACAACCAAAACAAGGGAATTGAATTCTATTAAAGCCACTTCCAAATTAGTACTCTCTGTTTTCAGAAGACTAAGGGAGGGAGTAAGACTTCGATGTTCAGTTGCATGGTGAGTGTGCACCACCAGTATGTAAATATTCTCTTTCTGTATCCATTTCCAATAAGTTTTCTACTCATCTAACTTGCTAAGCAATAGAACTTAAGTTCCAGACTTCGCAAGGCACATTCAAGGAGCTTAATGGTTCCAGTGCCAATTTCTTTGGTTTTTGGGAAACAGATGCATATTTGCATGAGTTCAGTGTTGGTGAAAGTATGCATTAGATTGCTCTGTACCAGCATACTTGAACTCAGGGGGACTAACAGCTGAGTAAATATATGCATAGGGTTGGGTTGGAGACCTTGAGATTTTGAGACAAAAATTGCCTCCCTACCTAGATTATAACTCCAAAAACCGATTGGATTGCCCTCAGAGGAATATACACTGCTGAGTAGGCACCCTATATAACTTTTTCTTTCTTGAGTCCTCAGCAAAACCTGACATCCAGTGGGAATCCTGCAGCATGTTGCTGGATTACAAATCCCAGCAGCCAGTGGTACAGAATGCTGGGTTGCAATGTAGAGAGCCACAGGATTCCTAACTCTTATTTATTGTGTTAAGCAATAAAATATGATTATGACTGTATTCATGCATATTCTACATTTTCACTACGATTGAGACTCAAGTCAGTGTTCAGAATATTAAAACCAGAACTGATTAAAAACATAAGTTTGTGTGTATGCTTTAAAAAGCAATTAAACAGTTTATAGAATGAAAGCCAGTTAAATGAGAGGATATAAAGAAAACAACAAAACATAACCAGCAAGGCTTAGCTGGGCTCATATAATTATGGCAAAATTGGATTACATTATTAGTTATCTCTACATAGGATTTTTTATTGAGCTAGAGATTTAATATGAGTTTGTTTTAATTAATGCTTTTAGTAATGATTTTGTACTAGTGTTGCTAATAAAATGCTTTTCTCTTTCAGTGAACTGTGGCTCTAGGTGACAAACAAAATAGGTTGTCTTGGACTTTGAAACGGGCCAGGATACCAATGAAGGAAAGCAACAAAGAACGCTTAAAAATGCCTGGTTTCTTCCAGGTGCGAAGCAGCAGCAGAGCAAAGAGGCCAAGCTTCCCCGAAAGGCATTTACAAGCCAAAGACTTTGAAAAAAGAAATGTAAAAACTTAAGGAAAGGGATGACTGTGAGCGTGGATGCCTCATTTTGCAAAATGTTTTTTCTATTTATAGTATGTGATGAATATGCAGCTCCTGCTGACGCAAAACCACTTTAAATTATTTGTAATATCTATATTTGTATTTATTTTGATAAATATCTTTAAGCACATTTGTCTTTAAATTACTTCTAGCATTTAAATGTGTCCATTCCAGATTAAATGCTTTTTTATGATTCCATTTCTGACATCAAGCGATTTATTTTTATCAGCAGAAGATAAAAAGGTACTTTCCTCCTCTAGCTCAATAGGATTTTATGGGAAAAACACTTACGCTAATAGTGGGATTGTTATTGTGCTCCAGTAGTCTCAGCATGGCATGGGCAAGGACCACAGAAAAATAAGTGTAGTTTGTAGAAGTTATTATTTGGATCACACCTCCCGGAGCCAACCAGATAATATGATTTTGCTGTCTGGGGATTCCTGGAATTATTGTCTAAAACTAACTTCTCCAAGCTCCAAATTGCACTGGAAAAAAGAGCTTTCAGTGAAATTTGTGGCTCACATGAGCTCCCAAGCTACATTCTCCCCATCTTCAGGAGGCTCAAACAAAATATTGTTCAGATGGGAATTGAGAAATGGCCAAAAGCTGACATTTGCTAGGATTTCCAGCTCAGATCAGTTGCTGTTGTACATTTCAGACTGGTCTTCATCCAAATTTGAGCCTGCACTGCTGTTGCTAGGGCTAAAGTCCAGTTTTGAAACAAAGCTTGTCTGTTCAGGGCTGGGGGTGGTGGCGGCACTGGCATGGAGAGTTCATGAGAGATGCCTTAAGACAAAAGGGGAAAACTCTTCAAAGTCATTGAAGGGAGGGGAGAGGCATGAAAATGACCACACAAACACATGGGCCATCTTCTTTACCCTTTTAAAATTATCTCCAAGAGCCTCATGGAGAGGAAACAAGTCACAGCACTTCAGCACGAAGCAACAGTGTTCCACACTACGGTCATTGCACAACAGTGCTAGGATACCCATGTCCTTTCAGATGTTATTAGACTCTAACTCCCATCATCTCTCATCCAAACCAGTGGGAGTTGTCTAGACAACATCTGGAGATTTTCCTGTTCTACAAATTCTTGGTATATGAAATACAGGCAGTCCCTGAGTTACATGCCTCCAGCTTACAATTAGCTCATAGTTAAGAATGGGTGAGACAATAGGAAGTGAGAGAAATGTATCCCTTGGAAGAGCATTCAGACCTGAAACCGTTATCATGGGGAAACTATCATCAATCCTGTGTCCACAACAAACTGATTGCTTTTCAAAATCCAATTATCACAGGAAGAGAATGTGAGGTGAAATCTTCTGAACAGAGGCACAGATAGCAAAAGGAACATCACCGAGTGTTAACCCTTCCCTATGCTATCTATCGATCTATCTATCTGGATGAAGTTGTACTATAAAAATGTGCCTGTTCTGACTTACATCCAAATTCAACTTAAGGACAAGCCTACAGAACCTATCTTGTTTGTAATTTGGGGGCTGCCTGTACTTGGAAATGTAACATTTATGAATTCTATACCAGGAATCCTCAACCTTTTTAAGCAGAGGGCCAGTTCACGCTATTGATAGTTTTTCAGACTATCATTTGAAAAAAATAAAATGAATTCCTATGCACACTGCACATATCCTATTTATAGTGCAAAAATGTGAAAGAACAATACTATATTTAAAACAAAGAACAATTTTAACCAACATAAACTTAACAGTGTTTCAATGGGAAGTGCGTGCATGCTTTTGACTGATGAGAGAGTCAATTAGGATTGTTGTTGCATGCCTTCAAGTTGTTTCAAACTTGAAGGCAATCCTAAGTCTAAAGTTTATGGCAGGGGCCAGGTAAACGACCTTGGATGGCCACATCTGTCACTCGGGCCTTAGTTTGGGGACTCCTGTTCTAAATAGTTACTATTAAATAGTATTTATTTATAAACTAGAAGGGTAGGGGGAATTTATTATGGCTAGAAGAGACTATGTATGAATGCAAGGTTTGCTGACTGATACCTCTGAAGAGCTCCTTAGCACAGATTTCAAGATCTAACACCTAACTTGGGGATATAGTTAAGAAGAGTGCCTGGTGTCCTAGTTCTGCCAAACAACATATTTCACAGATTGATGTTAAAATGCTGCTCTAAAATGCACTGTACAAATCAATACATCTAGTCTTCAACTGCAAGCAATGTATCTTGCACAATAGTCTTAAAACGTATTTGAGTGGAAGCAGGCAGGCCCTATTGCTTTTTGCAAGGCCATTTGGAATAGAAAGACTCCAAAAAGTTTCAAAAAATAGCCAATTGACAGAATATTATGAGAATATACGGCTATTTTTTGTATTTAGTTACTTTATTAAACATGGAATCCTCAGAAGTGATCTTGCCAGTTTCTTCTTCTGAAATATATCCTACATCACCTGTGCTTCATTGACAATCTCCCAACCAAATACTAACCAGGGCTGTTAGCTTCCAAGATCAGGTAGGTTTTTTGGTGTATTTTGGCACTCTTTATCTTTCACATAATTCTGGAATTGAAATGTGTTCTCTCTAATGTAATACAAAATATCTGTTCATGTGTTACAAAATTAGGGGATTTTGACTAATTACTAGCTCCAACTAGGGGAGATCCATCAATAAAAAATTGCTAAACCAGTAATTACATAAATGTCATTGATTCCACTCTAGTTGGAACGAGTGAGTGAATTTAACGACTTGTATTCATGTGTTGATAGACTGAGCTTTCCTTCTGTCAGAATTTGCCATCATCTAAGGCAAACACATTTTTTATCACAAATAATGTATCAAGGGCCATGTTGATTCTTTTCTGTTCAAAATGGGGCTGGGGCAGAACATTTCCATAGAACTGTGGAATGAATACAGTTAACAAATAAAACAATGATATTTTAATGCAAAAATACCCACAGCATTATGCCTTTTTAATCCCAGTGTGATTTCTTTTTTTTAAATCTTGTCACCTCTGTTAAGCATATGACTGAAATCACGGTCATTAAAGAAGCCCCAAGTGGCGCAATGGTTGAAACCCTTGTGCCAGCAGAACTGCTGACCAAAAGGTCAGTGGTTCGAATCTGGGGAGAGTGGGTTGATCTCCCTCTGTCAGCTCCAGCTCCCCTTGCAGGGACTTGAGAGAAGACTCCCACAAGGATGGTAAAACATCAAAACATCTGGGTGTCCCCTGGGCAATGTCCTTGCAGGTGGCCAATTCTCTCACACCAGAAGTGACTTGCAGTTTCTCAAGCCACTCCTGACATGAAAAAAAGGTCATTAAAACTCTTCCATAAATTCAAAATGGCTGTTTTGTTTAATATGTATTTTTCTATATATTTTAATATATAGTTGGATAAACTGCTATTCAAAATACTGCTTAAAGTGAAGAATAGAGTAGGTGATAAAATGGCCTCCACTTGCAAAGAACAAAGTGAATGAGTGCAAGCTATAAAATCAGTTGATGCACACACTAAAAAGATGGAAAAATTGCAAAATTAACAGGTATGGATGGAATAATAAAATTGCATAATATGTCAAACCAGAGTGGAAAGTCAATTGTGATTCTCTCACCTAACTTACAGTGGAAGAGCAATATTTACATGTGCTGAAAGCTATGTGCCTGGAAGCCAGGCAATCAAACCTCGTGAGAAAAAAAGATGGAGATTTTCATTTTCACTCACTACTTAATTACACAAGATGTAGTGCTGGTCACTTAGGACAATTCTAGCCCCACATTAATTGCTATGGCAACATAGAATCATAGAATTGGAAGAGACCTCGTGGGCCATCCAGTCCAATCTCCTGCCAAGAAGCAGGAAAATTGCATTCAAAGCACCCTTGACAGATGGCCATCCAGCCTCTGTTTGAAAGCCTCCAAAGGAGGAGCCTCCACCACACTACGGGACAGAGAGTTCCACTGCTGAACAGCTCTCACAGTTAGGAAGTTCTTCCTAATGTTCAGGTGGAATCTCCTTTACTGTAGTTTGAAGCTATTGTTCCACGTCCTAGTCTCCAGGGCAGTAGAAAAGAAGCTTGCTCCCTCCTGCATCAGACTTCCCTTACATTTTATACATGTCTCCTCTCAGCCTTCTCTTCTGCAGGCTAAACATGTCCAGCTCTTTAAGTTGCTCCTCATAGAGCTTGTCCTCCAGACCCTTGATCGTTTTAATCGCCCTCCTCTGGACACATTCCAGCTTGTCAACATCTCCCCTACATTGTGGTGCCCAGAATTTGACACATTATTCCAGGTGTGGTATGACCAAGGTCTGATCTCATGGAATCCTGGGATTTCTAGTTTAGGAATGGGAATTTAGAACTCGCAGCCACAGAGAGATAGTGCCTTCCACAAAACTACAATCCCCAGGATTCTGCAGTTAAAGTGGCATCAAAGGACTGTAATAGTGTAGTACGAAAGAGACTTCGGAAAACTTTAAAAGGGGAAGAAAATTAATCAACATTATAGGTATCAGTTGCTCTTTTATTTTTAATGTATTAGTTACATTTTGATGCTGCTTTTTTCACAGTGAGTTCAATGCGGCATACTTGGTTCTCCATCCTCCTCCTTTTTTTCTTGCAACAATTCTGTGAGTTCGATCGGACTGGCAGGGAGTGGTTGGCCAAAGGTCACCCAGTGAGTTTCATGAGTCACCTTGATTTCCCAACTCTGAGTCCTGCATTGAAATTGCTACACACAAAGGTTACTATTAGAGACAGCAACTATCTATCACCTCCTGCATGAGATGCAGTGTGCCTCTGCTAGTTGCCAAAAAACTTGAGAGGAAGTGTCCTTGCATCCTTGTCCTGACTGTGGGCTTTCTCAAAGCAACTCGTTGGCTGTCAAACAGATGAGCCATTGATCTTATGCAGCAAGGCCAACACTATGTTCTTCTGTGTTTCTATGCCTTCAATTCTCCTGTCAACTTATGGCAACATGAATTTCATAGGGGTTTCTTAGATAAGGAAACCTCAGAGGTGGTTTTGTCTTTCTTCTGAAATATAGTCTACAGTACAGTTCATTGGTGGTCTCCCATCCAAGTATTAACCAGAGATGATTGCTTAGGTGTCAAGGGCAGGTAGGGTCTGATATCTATAGGGTGTTTAGGTGTCCTGAAGGTTCTTACTCAACAGTATCTATAATATGCTGTGCTGTGTTAAGGGAGTTGGTTTTAATTAGTCTTCTTTCTGT